CTTCACTTCCTAGAAGAGTAAAAATTGGTGGCGCAGGGCTGAGTCTCGGCACTGTGAACCTGGCCGCAGCCCCTGCGGACAGTTCCATCCCCGGCCAGGGAGTGACCACAGGGCGCAGCAGGTCTCTCCTGTCCCCCCGCTGCTCCGCTCAGCAGCGGATTTCAGCCAATCCGCCTGTTCTGCCCCCCACTCTGTCTCTGGGGAGTCCTCTCACCCTCCGACACCTCTGACCCGTACCTCAAACTTATATACATAAATAAATCTTTTTTGAAAAGAATGAAAATTGGGGATCGGACCCAGCTTAGGGCTACGTATCTCTAGAGCTAACCTGCCCGTCAAAGAAGCCTGTGTCCTGGGCAGGACAAGACAGTCACAGAGCTTCTGAGGCTTCTTGCTGTGACGCCTCCTTGTCTCTCCTCGAGGCCCGGGGTCTCTCTCCCCCTCCTCGGCTCTGGCCAAACACACTGGTTCTGTCCATTTACCTTGGACTCGGCAGGCATTTAGACTCTCCAGATGAAGGCCCTGAAATTTGCTCTGTTCTCCCACTCCCGTCTGATGTTAATTTGATGCCTGACCCAGTCCAAGAAGCCAGAGAGGTAGAGGTAGGAAATTTCCTCTTCTCCCCACTCTAGTAAATAGTAAGTAAACAGGTTTCCTAAGTTCTGGGAATTGCTTGAGCACATTTATCCAAGGAGGAGGCCATGGCGCGTCTGATCTGCAGCTGGTCGGTGAGAAGCACAGAGTCCAGCTCTCGAAGTGAGGGCGGTCCTGGGAGGGAGAACCCCGAACCCTGGGACCTGATGCCATCTCCGGGCAGACGTGTCAGAACTGAGCTCCACGGCAGCTCCGGGTATCCCGGGGTGGCTTGTTCGTGTGGGGAGGCCTCACACCCACCCACCAGAAACTGGCCTCAGGGCTCTGTCCACTCCTGTCTGGGCATCTATCACTGGGCCTGACCTGCTTTTCTCCCTGCCAAGACAGTGAGTGCCCGTGGGGCCCTGTGAGAGTCAGGAACTGACCTCGGCTACAGAGTGGACGATAAACGAAGTGCAGTGTGAAGGAGTAAGCGTCTTCGGATGATCTGGAGGCTACCGGAGAGATCAAGCCCAGGCTTATTTTCTAAATCTCTGGGGGTGGTTTGTTTGCTGGTTTAAGTAAGCTTTTTTTTTTTTTTTTAAAGATTTATTTATTTATGCACACAGAACTAGGGTACAGGCAAGAGGCACAGGGGTGGTGAGAGGCTTCACCAGAGACAGAGTGGGGAGCAGAACAGGCCGATTGACGAAGTACACTGCTGAGGGGAGCAGCGGGCGGGTCAGGAGAGGTCTGCCGCGCCATGTGGTCACCTCCGGGGCAGGCGGGAATCGAACTCATGCTGCAGTGGCTTTAGCTTCTTAGTGCTGCACTTTAACCCGCCGCGCCACCAGGGAGGGCCCTAAGTAAGCTTTTTATTCAGAATAACAGCTCTACAGAAAAGTTGCAAAAATACAGAGTTGTGTCACAGACCCCCTCACCTTCTTGGGTTCCCTGAGACAATCATCTTGCACTACCATGGTCCATGAGTTAGTTCATCAGGAGAACACGGATGTTCTACTTACTACTCACTGCCACCGAGAACGCACTCAGAGGGCACCCGTCCTCCTGCGGCCTCCAGAGGAGAGAGGTGCCCTTTTCCCTGAGGAAGCTGGACGCCTGGCACAAGGTCCCCGTTCACCCACAGCTGTGAGGACTGTCCTTCCAGCTTCTGCCCACACTCTGTTCGTGGTGACAAGCACATTCTGGAAGATGACAGAAGCTCTCTGTGTGGCTCTCCTAGCTTCTGAGTTTCCTCAAAATTCCTCTCGTGTCCGTCTTCCAACCAAGAGTCTCCTCGAGTACTTTTCAGTATCGCTCTTCAAAAAACTGCCGCAGCCTGAGCTCTTCTCTTGTTCCAAAGTGACCCCGCTTCCAGGGACCAAAGTCTGGGCAGCCGTGACAAAGCACCTCAGGGGGGCGTCCACAGCCCTGGAGGCTGGACTCCGAGGTCAAGGGGTCGCTGGGAGGGCTGCCTCTGAGGCTGGGTGGACGACGTGTCCGGGCCTCTGCCTCGGCTGTGGCTGCCAAAGTGCCCTCCTTACGTGGCCACCTGCTCTTTTGGGTCAGGAGCCAGCGGGTGATCTCACTCGATTGCTGCCCCAAAGATCTGATCTCCAGATGTCATCATACTCAGAGTCAGATGTCTGCACATATTTCAGAGGGACAGGGCCAGCCGGGGCCTGTGCGCGCTCCGAGCGGCGGCCCCTCCCTCGCCACGGGTTCCTGGACGCATCCCCTGGGGCTGGCCCTATCGCGCCTCATGGGCTTCTGTTTTACCTCAAAATGACACCCGCATCACAAATGGACTCCGAATCAAAGCTGCTGGATTTCCAAGCCTTTAATCCCACGCGGGGTCACAGTGAAGTCAGGCCCAGAGTCTCCCTGGCCCTCGCCACGTCCCCCACTCCAGATCCATGGAGACGTCTCCCCAGGTGCAGACACCTGGATCCGGGATGGCTCAACCCGCCTCCTGAAGCCCCCAACTCCGCCCCACCCCCACGCCCTGTCTAACCGTCAGGTCTTTGCCAGCCTGTCCTGGGAGCCCTCGCTGGTAAAAACCAGCCTCCTGTCCCTCCCCCTCCATGGCCACCAAGCAACCCACTTTCAGCCACCGAGAGCATATTTACAGAGGGGAAGGGCCAGGAGGCGAGCAGGGCTCATGGAGGCAACTGGGGCCCTCTGAGCAGGGAGCAGGGTGTCTCCACATTGGGGCACGAGACCTCATGGGCGGCGACGGAGAAGGAAGGTGGTTCCGGAAGGCGCTTAGCGGAAGCACCGCGGCCGCTCTAGGTGACCCTGGGCTCCCGCTTGGGGCAGAGTGCGCCCCAGGGAGGCAAGGCGAGCAGCAGAAAGCAGCCGCCCCCCAGCAGCAGCACCAGGCCGGCCCCCACAGCACAGCCCAGAGACCAGGAGTACTCGTGGGTCAGGGCCGGGGCCGGCGGGGCCTCGGGGGTGACCCTCCTCAGCAGCTCTTCTATGGAATGCCGGAACACCTCCACGCTGACCAGCAGCAGCAGGCCTGTGGGGAGAGGACAAGACACGGCTCAGGCCCCAGGGGCCCCCCCGAGGTGCGAGCATGGCCCCAGGCTCACCCCAGCATCTGGGGGCGCCCCCAGGCCCTCCCCCCTGCTCGTTCAACAAGCTTCAGAGAAGAGCGGGGAGGCAGGCCTGTGG